AACACTGTTTAATCATTTGTTGCAGAATTCTAAATCTGATAAGACTGTAACAGATGTGTATAAACTGTCCAAACAAGTAGTCTTTGACCTAAGTTCAAATTAGTCAAGTCAAACAGTCTCATGAGTACCTGAAGAAAGCAGCAAGTAATAGCCAGAACCAAAGAAAGATGAAAATTTTTTCGTTGAACATATTAATCATAAGAACGCATTGGACCGTATGTCTATGTAAGTTGCCCAATACTCTGACCTGCAATCATCCAGCCAACAGTTAACTTATACACTAATCTTACGGTTCTGCATCATTCATTTTTCATACACTCAAATGAGAAACTTAAATATAGTCTGCCCACATGTACAAAAAAATGGAACTTAATAAAACTTTCAAAAGTAGAGTTGACAAAAACCCAAAAACTTTTATTCGACAATCACCTGTTGACAAGAAATTTTAAAGCTATTCTATCATTCAAAAAACAAATTAGTCCATCAAAACTAGAATGAATTTGCATTTGTGAAATACGAGCAAAATGTGCAAAGTAGCTAAATGAATAAGGATTTCGCAAATGCAGGTCAAAAAAAAAACCAATTCAGTAAGTATATGTTGTTCAGCAACAACAGAGCTTTTAAAATGATAAGCAAAAAATGGAGGAATAAGCCGAGGGAAAAAAATTTACCGTAAAATCGCAAAGTGTAACCCGAGGAAAATGTGCAGTTTCAGGCCATTCTTTACCCTGCGTAATATCGCTGAGTACACGGCCACCCCACCAGATGCTTTCGACACCAAGAAATTTTTTTAGAATCACGAACTGTGCCAATGCGTTGAGTGCATACAACAGTTTAATACCCTTAAAAAACGGTAGAAATTTCAGAATTTAGTGACAGTGATAATTCATCCTCATTACTGAGATAATACACTGAACATTCCTTGCACTGAATCTCAACAGATTACGTCCATCGGGAGTGCAAAGTTTATATTTGTCATAAGAATGTAATCAAGTGAAGAAGAACCAAGTATTCTAAATAAATCTTACTTACTATGTAAGAAGCAATTAACGATTTTCCAGATGTTAGGTGCCGGATGTTGCCACCGAAATTATCTTTTATGTCTCGATCGTAAGCCAAAAAGCTTGCAATCTTGTCCATATTTTTTGTGCGATCGGAAGTAGCCATATTTGACCCGATGTTGCACGTGTCACATATTACTTGGACTTTTATACCTGAAAGAAGTTGTTGATACTAAATTTACAACTGAACCCTAAGGATAAGGATGTAGCCGATTAAATGAAAAACCTGAAACATACCATTGCAGGCATAAATAGTTCGCCATAAAACTACCGGAAGATAGAATAGTATCGCTTGTAAGGCCAAAATAAACGGTACCCACTGGTAATAACCTGAATTATGATGAATATGCTAAAAAGCTGCATAACATGGTTAAAAATTATTGTTCCATATGATTCCAAATAGAAAAAAAATAGTCGGTTGATACCAATCAGTGGTAAATTACAAGAAGCGAACCTCCCAAATTCACCAACAATATTTGTTTTTTTGACAATAAACTTTTTTAGCTCAGATTTAGAAAACGAACTGTTGAACAAAACAGCTAAATTTTTATTTAAAGCTTTAGCTCAAGAATCTTTTGGATATTTCTTAAGGCACAGCCTAAGATTGCAAATTCAAATATAATTTTTTAATATACTCAAAATATAAGAAATATTTCTAAAAAAAAAAAAAATTTAAATTCATTCTGAAAATCTGAAGTGATAGTTTGTTAAATTCATCCTAACAAATTTTAGACCCGAAACAATCTATCATTTCAGAACAATTAAATAGAGTTTAAACCATAGACAAAATAAATGCCGGAATACCGTTACCGATTAGTTTTTCTTCTCGTTGAGTGATATTTTTTGGGATCGGTATAATATGTTCGGCAATATCAAAATAATTTGAAGGTTTTACTTCAGTAAACGGAATAAAATAAGTATTCTGTACAAAACAATAATCTAATGCATATTCTATCCACCATCCTAAAAAATGCAAAAAAAATTAGAATTTTTAATTTAAATTCAAAAAGAAATTCTTTTTTTCTTTTTGCTTCTTACAAATATTAAATCAAAAAAATGACAATATAAAGAATTAATATAAAAGAACCTTTATAATAGGCCGGAAACCAACATTGAATTGGAGTGCCAACAAAACTGAAAAAAAGTTTTTTTTTTCTTCAGTTACCTTAAACAGTGTTGTAAAGAAATAAAAATTTAAAGTCAAAATAAAACTTTATTTTCAACATTCTCTTCCTCTTTCCAGTCTTAAAATTAATGAAAGATTTGTTAACCAGCTGGAAGTTCAGTTGGCAGTCGCGAAAAAAAAACTTAATTTGACCTTTCTGTAAATCAAATATTAATCAGC